CCGGGCCCCCCGCCACAAGGCCCGCAAACCACCTGTGGGCTCTAAGTCTGATTCCAACTTCAGCAACCTCATTCGGCTGAGCCAGGCCTCGCCTGAGGACGACGGGCCCTGTCGGGGCAGCGGCTGGGAAGAAGGAGAGCGAGCTGGGGCCTCAGCTGAGCCACCTGCCATCCTGCAGCGGGATGGAGATGGGCCCAGCATCAAGGACATGACCATGGACGCTGGGGTAAGCCAGATGGGTTGGTAGGGTGAAGGTGGTTCTGGGATCAGGGCCTCCCTACCCCAGAACTCACTTCAGAGCAGGGCCCAGTTAACTCAGCCTTGCCTCCCACTTAACTGCACTTACCCATGTGGCTGGCTCTGGGTCCAACACACACTTAACCCACCCTTAGGCTGTGATAAGGCTCAGCATACACTCACCATTGTTAAGGCTACAGTTAGGACCACATAAGGCTCAGCACACACTAACCAACCATCATTCAGGCTAGTTAGGACTGAATAAAGCTCGGCACACACTAACCCTTATTCAGAATAAAATTGGCATTGAATAAGGCTCAACACACACTAACCCATCCTGAGGATGTGATAAAGCTTGGCACATACTAACCTACCTTCAGGCTGTGATAAATTTAGGACATAGCAATCTACCTAGAAGTGACCAAGGCCCCGCTTTGGACAAGGCTTTAGTGCATGCTCACACCCTCAGAAGAAGGGACAAAGGCTCAGCAGGCACTAACATGCTAACACATCTTAGCTGACATCCCTCTCTTCTCCTCCCCTACAGAGGGCAGGCTCTGAGCTCTTCGACCCCAGCAGTTGTCCTGGAGAATGGCTGAATGAGCCAGACTGGACCCTGGAAGGTGTCAGGGGAGCACGGGCTCAGGGGCTCCCACCCCGCCACTCCCACCCCCACAAACCGCCACGGGCCACCAGCTTTCTGCAGCACGTTGGTGGACACCACTGATGGGGACCCCACCCCTGCCCATCACTGGGGGTTGCGCTAGCTGGGCTGGCATGCCCTCTACATGAACTGCCCCTCAGAGCCATCCCTGAACCTACAAATTATTCTTACGGAAAGATAGTTATCCAGAAATTCCCCACTCTCCTGCCCATGGGATATACCTACACATATCCCCTGAACACTGGAGGGCCTTGGGGTGTGGACCCTGGGCCCTTTGGCCACAGGGGTGGCAGGTAGGGGCTGTATCCTGCTGGCCCTGAGCCCATCCTTGGCCCCACTGCCTCTGTTTCAATAAAGAACTGTTTAGCAGCCTGCTTCAAGCCTGTCCTTACTGGCTGGTAACTGGATGGGTCTTAAGGCAGGACGCTGGAGTAAGCAAGATGGGTAGGTAGAGTGAAGGTGGTTTTGGCCTGAGACTAGTACCCAGGACCTGCCTTGCAGCTGGCCACTGGCTCAGGCTGGAGGTGGGTTGCTGTTGCATTGGGAGGAGAAGGCTGTACCAGGTGCACTAAATGATCTAAATATACCAAGAGCTGGGCACATTGACATTGCACCCTCAGAACACTCTTTGTGCTCAGCACGTGTTAAACCGAGCTTGCTGAAGGCTGAAGTCTCGCTGTCTGCAACGAGACCTGTCCTTCCTACAGGCCATGGCATCAGCTCACCTGCATCCAGGTTTGGGACGTGATAAGTGGAAATTCCTCGGCAGGCATAATCAGGTGTTCAGACATGCTAATGCACCCTCTGGAGGTGGTGGCAGCTCAGCCCATGTTAATCCAGGTGGGCACATGCTGAGCAGGTAGCACTCATTCCCCCATGCTGGTTTCCCGAGTGCTCAGTACGTGCCAAGCCACACGGCTGCACGCTGCATGCTCGGCACAAGTCAGCCTGTGTGCGCTGCACACTGGCCACACGCTGAGAGTTCAGTACGTGACAAACCACACTGGTCCCATGCTGAGGGCTCAGTACATGCCAAGCCACAATGCACACACTGAGGGCTCAGTACATGCTGTTACATGCTGAGGGCTCAGCACATGCTAGTCACATGCTGAGGGCTCAGCACTCTCAGCTGTTCCCCACAGAAGCCCATGCCAGATGTCCCCTACCCCTGACACCATCTCACACTACTCAGTCAGGCACAGGCTGTACAGACAAGATATTTACTTATTATAATCTTGGGCCCTCTTTGCCCTGGAAAGGGGGGTGGGCCAGGGGGCTGGGCCCAGCATGCACCCCCATTTCTTTGGGGGCTGATCCCTCCCCCAGCTCTGCTGGGCCCCAGGCCACAGCATCAGGCTGGTGGGGACAGAGGTAGAGGTGGGCGAGCAGGTGGAGCCACAATGGGTCAGACAGAAGCGGGGGCACAGGGACAGGAACCTGGACCCAGAGCACCTGGGTCCACAGGGGCCACGCAAACCTCAGCCTGTCCACTAGACCAGGCCTCAGAGCAGGCGGCATGCGTTGCCCACGCTGTCAGCTGAGGCATCGAGGTCATGGCTGTAAGGGGAGTCCCAGTCCCTTAGGAAAACGGCTTCCAGCTGGCTCCTCAGGCCACCCCGCCCATTCTGTGTCACCAGCAGCGAAGTGCCTGCCGTCTCTGTGAAGTAGTTGCCAGACCAGTTGGAGGTTCCTAGGGAGCAGGGAGTGGACAATAAAGGCCCCATGGGTTGGCCAAGCCTTGGTGCTGGACTCTCCCTTCTTCTGTCCCCCTGGGGGTACTCAGGACACTCACCGATGTAGGTAGCACGTTCAGTCACCATGTACTTGTTGTGGTTGACACGGGCGTACGGGATTCGGGCCTGCCCCTCGTCCGCAGGGACCACAAAGAGTTTCTGACAGAGTGGGGAAGATGGGAAGGAGTGTGAAATGCACGGGGAGTCAGAGAAGGCCCAGACCTAGGGTAGAATGTGAAACCAGGAATGCAGGACTAGGGGACTTCAGGTGGCTTCCCAGCGAATCCTTGGGGACCAGACCAAGGCTGGGGCAGTGGGTACTCGACAAACACTGGCTGAAAGGAAGGATCTAGTCACCTCATTTGCAACCCTAGTCCCTCTACAATGAGCAGCTCCTATTCATGCCTGAGGTTATGTCCCAGGTGTTCCATTTTTCAGGGTCTTACTTGGTCTGTCAGGGTAAAAGAATTGCTTCCTCTGGGTTTTCCTACCGAGTTCTGACCCCTCGGCCTGTGCCCCCCCCCCCCCCCCCCCCCCCCCCCCCCCCCCCCCCCCCCCCCCCCCCCCCCCCCCCCCCCCCCCCCCCCCCCCCAGCCTAGCCCTGACCCACGGTTTCCCCACAGGGCATGGCTTCCTTTGGGTTGTTTCTGTCAGATGAGCTCCAGGATTGTGTCCTCAGTACAGTTCTAGACAGGGACCATGAGAGGGTGGTGTGGACCAGTGCTTACCACCTGGATGTCAGAGTGGGTATGGTTGTCACGCAGGGCAGCCAGGGAGAGCAGGAAGGCTCGCATAGATGGCTCTGAGTGTCCCCAGCAGCTGACCAGCAGGCGCACCTTGACGCCACGCTCATAGGCGGCCCGACGCAGCCCATCGTCAATGGCAGGCCCGAAACTGCGGGCCCAGGAGAT